TAAAAGTAGATAGGAGTAGATAATAAAATCAAATAACTCATTACATTTATAAAAACTTTTTAAAAAGTTATAGTATTATAATATTGAAATTCTATAGCCCAGATAAACACCCTGTTCCAAATGAAGCCTTATTAAAAATAAACGTTATTTTTATTTTCAACAAAATATATATATATAAACATACATAAATACATTTTTCTAAATAATTATTATTTTTTGCATTCTCCTACTCTGAGTCAGATATTTGCTCTGGTTTAGAATCCTGGACAAGTAAGTTATCAACTGGCAACTGATCATAGAAAGACTTATTTTGTTCACTAAAAAAATTTTTTAGCTTTAGTAAGTCTTTGAATTTTTCACAAGAAAGTGGCAATCGGTCTATATATGCTTGTTTCGGCTTTTCAGGCACTTCAAAGACATGTTTAGATTGGGTCAATCTTTTCCCTCTTATTGAACGAGAACATGATTCAGACCTAAGGGATGTAACTCGCCTAAGACTAAACATACCGCTCCAGTTTTCCCTATACATAATTAGGTTAGAATGAGCCTTTGATATTTCAACTTCTCTGATGGGACGTGTCTTAAATGGACAAACAATTAAAAAGTATGGCTTTAAAAACTCTGTAAACTTCAAAAACTTTTCTTGCGCCATGTTTATAATGTTGAAAGGCTCTGGTATTTTTTGAGATGCCCGAAAAACACTCCTCCAATCTTCTGGTATTTCTGCTGGAGACTTTTGATTAATAATAGCCATATCTCTGTCACATTCCATGTAGGAATGACCTCAAATAGGGTATGAAAGAGTTACACTGTCAAATCTTTCTACTTTATGAACTAGATAATAAAAGAAACGCAAAACTGTTCAGTTTTTATTTTGTCCTGCACAGGAATCACAAAACAATTTGATATGCTTTACATTTTCAGGTAATTGAAACGTAAAAAAATCATGAAGCATAGAACATACATCATCTGAGCCTTTGTTGCCAATGGTTTCATCATAGCAATAAAAATATACTTTTTGAGAAGAAAGAATATGAATGTTGAAAGAGTAAAATGACAGTTGCCTGGAATAGTATACATCTTGAGTTGAAATGTTTGGGCATTTCAGATTTTTTTGAAAATCAAAGCAGATTGCTGAACATTCCAAAGTTTGCTGAGCTTGTAAACGTGCAGTTCTTTTTCTTTGGTAAAACATTTCAGCCTTTCTCTGATGAAGTTCAAGAGATGCGTTTAAAGCATTTTTCTTATATAACAAATCATATGCAGCAACAGAGTCACTAGGTACTTGACAATCTATTGCAGTTATCTTTTTTCTTTGTTAAATCAAAAAATGAGCAAGTGCCTTTTTGAGGATATCCAAATGAAATGTTAAACTTTGAATTAAAAAATTTACGATAAATTTCATAGGAACACTTTTCTAAAGGATACTTTTCTTTAAACATGCAGTACATTTTTAAAATATTTAAGTCTTCTGGAAGGTAAAGTCTGGTAGATTTTGTTCGAGCATAATGAGAAGATCGTCCTCGAAATGATTTGATATGGTTCACTATCATATTAGTGTATTCAGCAGAAAAAGCATGCTTTCTGTTTTTATGACGTCCTCTCATGTCTTTACAAGGTAGACCTAATAATTGAAAAGAAAATAATTAAAACATCATGACAAGACAAAGTTTGTGTCACAAAAATATAAATAAAAATATCTTATTATTTTATTACCCTATTGTTTGTAAAGATATATATATATATATATATATATATATATATATATATATATATATATATATATATATATATATATATATATATATATATATATATATATATATATATATACATATATATACATATATACATATATATATATATATATATATATATATATATATATATATATATATATATATATATATATATATATATATATATATATATATATATATATATATATATATATATATATATATACATGTATATGTATATATATCAATGATTGGAGGATATTGGAGGACGGTTTATCTGATAACTAGTAGTAAAGGTTAGTAGCAAAAAAAAAAAAGCAAAAACTGCCTGTCACTGATATCAGTGACATGCAATTTTCGCAAGTTTTATGTAAACCTAATGCCAAATGTATCATAACTGCAATGTATCATAAATATTTTGCAACTTGTTTCAACTATCAAAGTTATAACAAATAACTCATACTTGGTTCATAGTATTTATTGCAAAAACACATTTTTTTTAAGTTCTTGAAACTCAAATATTTTTAATGACTTTTTAACTGCAAATTATGATTTTTTTTACCAAAGGTTTCAATAATTATTTTTTTTTTAGATATATATATGATACTTGTTGATATGGTGCCTTTTTCCCTCCATTTCTCCTCCCCCCTCCTTCCTTTTTCTCTAAAAAATATTTTTATAACCTTTTTAGTATATCTAATGCTTTTACCTATAGTGTATGCACTAATTATATTTTATAGACACTTGTCCGCAAGATGCGATAACTTCAATTTTGTTTTTATATGAAATATTTTGGTCTTTTCAACTTTTTAAAAGAACATGAAATTTATATTCAAGTTACTGAGAAATCATGTATTCATTTGCTGACATTCTTTGAGTTATCCCTTGATCAGAACAATGAAATTGTTCGTAGATCAACACTTATGAACATTTTAGCACATCTTAAATATCGCTGGAAAGTCTGTTAACGCAGAGAATCTTTGTTTATTAAGAACAACACTAATTGGCTTGATAATGAAATTAATTTAAATGATTTTGCTGCAGGCAAAATAACCTTTTGCAAGTTTTCAATCTACTTCCTGCGACCAACAATTACTGACTTTCAATAGTGTTCTTCAAGAACTAAGTATCGAAGTGTTAGTAAACTCCAAAAAAGTCACTTTTATTAAATAAAGAAGGAAAAATAGAAAAAGCTAAAACAATCAACAAAATATATTTAGATATAAATATAAATTTTTTAATGCTTATTGGAAATGAAGCATTGTCGTTGATGCAAATATGACCAAAGCTGCGTTTCAACTCCATAGAAATGCAGCAATTGAAAAAGAATGCAACCTGTATCCTGGATAAAACAATATAAAATTATAAAAACTTTTGCGCTACTCTAATAACATGATTTTTACTGACTATATTGCAAGTATACCACTGCAAAGTTTATGTGACCATACGGCTCAAAGACTTTGTCAAGTTCAAAATGAGGTTTTTTGTATGCTAGAAACGTTTAACCTGGCATCTCTTCATTATAAAGCAGGTTTTGATGGGCCTACTGGTCTAAGCATATATATACAAAAAATGTGTGTTGAAAGTTTTTGCGACTTGAAAAAAGAAGAATCATTGTTTCTAACTTGCCTGGTTCCACTTCAGATTACAACTTATGTTAGAGAAACTCTCACTGTCATTTGGAGAAATCCAAAACCATCTTTCACTTTATATCATCGACCTTTAAGATGTAAATTTGAAAAAGAAACAACTGATTTATTACTTATTGAAGAAGCTACTTTGAAATTTTGTAGAAACTTTTGTTCAGATCTTAAATCTTGTAGAAACTTTTGTTCAGTTATCTAATAGCAAGTCTTTTTCAGTCAAACATATCATTCAAGTTACAATGATAGATGGCAAAGTCCATACTGCTCTATCAAATGTAACAAGCTCTAGTCAATGTTGCTGTATATGCAGGTGTTCACCAAAAGACACGAACAACATTGACAAAGTTACTCAACTTTCATACTTACCGAATGAGCTTCAATATGGATTATTTACACTTCGTGCATGGATAAGATTTTTTAACTGTCTCATTCATATTTCATATAAGATACCAACAAAAAAAGGGCAAGCAATAGGAGACGAAGAGAAATCTTTTGTTAAAGAACAAAAAATGAAGATACAAAAAGAATTTCAACACATAATGGGACTTATTGTTGATTATTCAAAATGTGGAGGATCTGGAAACTCAAATGACGGCAATACTGCTCGAAAAGCTTTTTCAAATGAAGACTTGTTTGCTGATATTACAGGAATAAACAAGGAAATAATTGTAAAGTTGCATATAAATCTAATTTGTATATCAAGTGGATTTCAAATAAATACTAGTAAGTTTCGCTTACTTTGTCTGGAGACCGCAAAACTCTACTTATGCTTGTACCATTGGTATTACATGCCTCAGAGTCTTCACAAGATCTTAATTCATGGAGCAGAAGTAATAGAAAATCTATTCTTATCATAAGGTCTTTTAGTGAAGAAGCTCAAGAAACTAGAATTAAAGAATTTAGAAAATATAAACGTAAGTGTACTCTTTGCTCTTGAATTTTTACGGGAACACCATTCCCGTAAAAATTCAAAAGCAAAGACAAACTAAGATGTAATGAAAAAACTTTTATGTATATCTGATCCAGTTATTTTATCTTATAGAAAAACTGTTTCATCTGTAAAAAAGAAATTTTCTCCGGTTGTTGTTGAGCTTTTTGTATGCGAGAATTCTACGTTCTAGAATATAGATATATCTATTTCGTAATTTTTAATTGTACTTAAACGAAAAAATAAACTTTTTTAGCAATATATGAGCTTGATACTTATTTTATATGGTTTGTATGATTAGTTCATAACAGTTCTAATAAAAAAAATTAAAAAATAATTTTGGCACAAAAAACACGATTTTATCCCACTGAGCACTGCTCAAGAGCGTTTAGTTGATTAACATCAGTTTAGTTGACATCAAAATTTTTTCCTCGAAAATGTTTTCAAACTTTGCAGATTTAAATTTTTTCGGTGTCTAAAAACAATTTATTAGCAAATTTATTCGCAAAAAAATAAATTTTAAATTTCAGATTTATTTTTGTATTTAAAGTTGAAGTTTTAAAATAATCAAATAAAATTTACAAAACTTTAAAATATATATATATATATATATATATATATATATATATATATATATATATATATATATATATATATATATATATATATATATATATATATATATATATATATATATAATAATAACAATAAACCAAATATTAAAACGTTAAAAATACTAAACACTAATCTGCAAATGAAACGTATACATCAACACAAGCTCGTCCGACGTTATCTCCTTCACCGGCGTTATAAAGATCTTCATTATTCCAAATATAGATCGAATCTCCTTTGTTAAAGTAAGAAGGATCGTCATAGTTGGTAAGAATAACCTCTTTATCGGTTGGAAGGTACCCGGGGTATATGTAGTTTCTGTTATCTGGAAATGTAAGCGGTTTCCTGGAAGATGGGAAAAGAACTTTTTTGTTTTTATTACAAATAAAAACACTGAATAATGTTTGATCATTGAAACAACCAAAATTACTGCCTATAAAAAAATCGGCACATTTTACACGACCAGTTTGATGTACAAGCTTTACTTCAACTATTGCACCATTTCGATTAATGGGAACTTCTGCTGGTTGATCATTTTTCCCCTCAAAGCAAGCACCTTTTTTTAGCAAATTCCATTTTGAACCCGAATCTGAATAAATAAAAAAAAAAATTGAATATTTAATTTAAGATTTAAATAAAAAAAAAAACTTTTTAAAATTTAAACATCAAAGAATTAGTGTAAACACATATGTCAGAAATATCTGTTTTACACCCTTCATTACTTTGTTAACAGTTTTCAAGCCTATTTTTAAATTGGATATGTTTAAAATTATTTGAAACATATCCCCCTTCCTATTCCATATATATATATATATATATATATATATATATATATATATATATATATATATATATATATATATATATATATATAAATATATATATATATATATCCATAGCTTTCTTCTTATGATGTATGAAGCGAAATTTGAGCTTGAAAAGGATCTCACTTCTGCTTCAGCATGGGGCTTTCAGTAGCTGCTGAACTTTAAATTAAATATAATTCAATTTTTTTCAGCTAGTCATTATTGCAATAATCTAGATCTTCCTATATTTAAGAACGGTAATGTACTCAATGAGTCATCTACCCTCCGTCTTCTTGGATGAACTCTTACTTTCGATCTTTGTTGTAAATCATATATCAAATCCATTGCAAAATTAACATCTGCTAAGGTTACATCTCTTTATCGTGCTTAACACTTTCATTCCTCCTGATTTTATTCTTTATCTCTTTATAACAGTATTCCATACAAAAGATTCTTTATCTCTTTATAACAGTATTCCATACAAAGACGGATTTGAGATTCTACAAATCTCAAATCCGTCTTTGTATGGAATACTGTTGCCATATGTGGGGCGGACCTTCCAATGATGCCCTTTCTCTTTTAGACAAAGTGCACGGCTCTAAAGAGCTAGCGTCTCTTGAGCCATCTTCTAAAATTTATTCTTGCGTTACTCGTCATTCTTTTAAGTCTCATATTTTTACTGTGACTATTCCTAAGTGCTCTTAAAATTCTTATTCACCCTTTTTTTTTCCTTGAACATCAGTTCTTTGGAATTCAATTCCTTTATCTTGTTTTCCTAATTCATGTAACTTACAAACTTTTAAGTTGTCTGTCAATCATTATCTTGCTTTAAAGTTCATTTTTTCTCTTCTAGTAACTTCTAACTCTAATAGTGGTTGCTTGCAGCCTTGTTGGAAGTGAAAATGTTAAAAAATAAAAAATAAAAAAATAAAATCCAATACAAATTTTTACTCACTCTTCATCATCTTTAATTATTTTTACATAGCTCCCTCTCTTTGATTTATCATTTATTCATTGGTATTCATTATTGGTATTCCTTGTTTCCCATTTATTTGATGCTTGAAATAGACATGGTCAAATTTTGAAAGTGAAAATTTTAAATTCTAGAAACTTGAAAAGTGTTAAGGATATAGTAGAAACAAAGGAAGAAAAAGAACTGTTTTTTTGCTAGTAAAAGGGTTATAATCACTTCTTGGTTATCTCTTTTTGACTCATAGTTGATTGGAGACAAAATTGCAGACTTTTGTATCAACTACAGATCCTTAACTTGTTTGGCTAAAAAAGCTTTTGTTTTTTGGTGTTTTATTCTTTTTGTAAATTCATTGGCAAAACCAGTACCTTAAATGTATTTGGTGTTTTTGGCATTTGTATTTCAGCAAGCAAGTTTTGTATTCCTAAAAGTATTTCCTTGTTAGAAACATTCAAAAGTGAGAGAAAGAATATAATCTTTTTATTATTTTGTCACTTGTTTTTTATTTGAATCATAAATATGCATATACAAACCAATGAAAAAAACTTGTTATTTTGGATTTTTTGTTAAAAGTAAATTAGAAATCTGTAAAAAATAACTTTCACACACACACCGACACATTCTCACACATAAATTTGAGAAGATTCAAAAAAAATTTAGATGACCAAAAATTTCTGGAAAGATCTACAAGGTTTTGAAAAGTTGATAGTTCTGGAAGGAACCAAAAAGCTTTGTAAGGCACAATATCGCTTAAGATTAATTTAAATATTACTATATTTAATATTTAATTTATTTAGTAGAAAAAATATGACTAATTTATAAGTTTTTATCAATTTGTATATAACAACAATAATATACTTTTTAAAAAGTCATTTTATATAATTTTATTATTTATTTTAAACATTTAAGCACATAAAAATACATACATTTTGAAATTACTTGTGTATCAGAAACATTTGCATCTAAAAACAAAAACTTTATAATAATCAAAAAGTTCATAAAGTGAGTACATGAATATACACTAAAAACTATTAAATTTTTTTTTTTGAGTGTAATAAAATAATACTAATACCATACCTAGCTCTCCGTTAACAATGAAAAGGTTCTTTATTGAACCGTCCTGAACAGAGTACCATGGATCTGAGGCAAAGACCTTAACATTTTCAAAAGTTTCAGGCTGGTTGTTCTGTTCAGAAAATACATTTATTCCATTCAATGAAACTGAAAATAAATAAACATCGGAAACAAATTGTTGACTAATTTCAATGTGTGACCACTCTTTAGGAGGAAGAGGCTCTGTTTTGAAAACCCTATCAAGTATGCCATTTATAGGAGCAGCAATATAAAGACTACCATCACCACTGTTATGAAACCATATTCCTGGAACTCTATCACCATATTTGCTGACATCAGAACCAATAGTAAAATGAATAACATTATGCCAACCCTCTGAAAATGAATTTGGTTTCACCTCAAAAAATACTTTAAATATTTTCTCTAATCGAGGAACAATTGCTACTAAATTATTTTGAACCAAAGGAGTTTCTTTATCTTCAATCAGTTGCTCTATCATTAAAAAAAAATTAATTTACAAAATCATAAATAAATGGATTTATGAAAAAGATAAATAAACATGAAAAAAAATTTTATTAAGGATTTTTGGCACAAATTTCATCTGTTGTTTTCTAAATATTTTCTTTTTTTCATATTCATTTATCTTTTTCATAAATCCATTTATTTATGATTTTGTAACTTTCAAAATTTTAAAAAAAGAAAACTTTGCTCTACCTATATATATACATATACATGTACATATATATATATATATATATATATATATATATATATATATATATATATATATATATATATATATATATATATATATATATATATATATATATATATATATATATATATATATATATATATATATATATATATTATATATGTATATATATATATATATATATATATATATATATATATATATATATATATATATATATATATATATATATATATATATATATTAGGGATATATCATATCCCTAATATATATATATATATTAGGGATATGACTTTTTAAAAAAAAATTTCCCTGGCCCAAAAATGGATGAGTTTTTACGCATAAAATGCAAAAATATTAATACTTTCACGATGTTCAAAAAAAATGTCACGCCCCAAAGCACATTAAGATTTAAAAAGGTTTTAAAAAAACTAATGACCAAAATCATTTCCATTTGCAAACATGTTCATTCATATGATTCTATAAAAAAAATTAATTTATTCTAACAATTAATACATGGCATAGTGTTATATTCAATGCAGGAAAAAACATTTTATACAATTTAAATACATGCAGTTATTGTTTATTAGACAAAATGAAACGAAGTGGAAGATTGTCTTTATTTCTGCACAATCTATAAAGCTCCTCCATTACTTTAATTGCTCTTTCAGCACATTGATTACTATAATAATAAAACTTCATGAAGGTCTGAATAAGTGTTTTCTTTATAGGTTTGGTCGTCAAACCAAAAGTCTGCCCACTTGTAAGAAATAAAGGTACATACAGATTCAAGTTTGTTTCTTGTTTTTGGCATAAGAATGTAGGCTAACAACGCTAAAATAGCTCTTGAACTCCACCGAGCATTACTGATATTAGGGATTTTTTGAAATCTTACATTAGGAAATATTTTATTTTGGTCATAGTATCGGTAGGTTCTCGTCAGATGAAACAGAAACTTCATGTCATCTCGCCATCCTCCTGTGTCTTTTATTTCTTCTGTACCATTATAGAAATTTTTCTTCAGTGTTTCATAATGTTCTAACAACTCGTTAGTAAAAAAGTAATTAATGTTTGGTGAGTTCAGATTTTCTCCCAATTTTTCTTCCATTTCTAGTCTAAGTATTCTATCCAAGATATGATGTTGACATGGTACAAATTGTGGTTTTTGTAATCCTTTTTTTTGAAAAATGTCCTGAAGTTTTACAACAACACCATTTTTCTTTCCGGTATTGACATTTGTAGTATCTGTCACAATCATTTTAATTGAATTCCATAGTTTAAATTCATCTATAATATCAGCTATGGCATTAATAATAGTGATAGATTTTCCATCTATTAACTTCAGTGCGCCCAACTTTATTTCGCTTCTTTTATTTTTAAGTACGACAACCTGATACTCCCATTGGTCTATATGCTTTCCATCGAAGTGTAGACTCCAATTCTCATTCTTTAAATCTTGAATTAAAGTTTCTTTAAATTGTTTTGTTTCATTAAAAAGAGCCTTGTATATTCCAGACTGTGATGGCGCTGGAACATGTATGCCTTCTGAGGACAGTATTTTACCTATTTTATAAGCTTTCTTAGTTGATACCTTAGCACAAACCACTAACTTTGTTGCTATTTTACAACTACTATATTTTTTACGTCTTTTCTTCAAATTATTATATTCTTCATCTGTAATTTCATTATCTATCTCAAATTGTTCATCAGTTTCTTCAAATTCGGAACTAGAGTTGTCTCTTTCTATTTTACTACTTTCAGTAAATGAAGAAAAACTTTTAGATGCTGAAGGTTGGCTGGAAAGTTTTTGCACAATTGATGGATGAATAGTCTTCTTTCCTGCCAGCTTTAAAGTAGCATATCCAATTTCTCCTTTGCTTTGTAACTGAATTTCATAAAATCTTTTATCTTCAGATAATAACCAAATGCCATTTTGATTTGTTATATCAAAAATCTCTTTTTGCAGAATGTCGGCATTCCCTTTTTTTCTGAGACTTTCATATTTTTCTATACCATCATTAATCTTTCGCTTCATTGACTGCTCTGTCAGACATGGGAAATTTAATTGTTCTTTCCACAAACTTATAACTTCTTCTGAAATAAGATCTATCCTTTGCTTTAGTACTAGACAAATACTTAAACCTGCTAACAATATCACTTTTTAATGGCAATTTAGTGTATTCTTGAAAAGATGTTTTTAACATTGGAAACTGTCTACTTTTATGCGAATCTTGAAATTTCACAAGATTTTTTTTATAAGTCTCTATTTTTTTCAACACTTGATTGGCAGTATTTGTATGCCATTTTAATTAAAAGCAGCACAAAAAAATCTGAAAGTAATTAATAAACAATTAGGCACGGCAGTGAAAAACTAGAAATTATAAAGTGGTAATGCATACGTCTGGTATGTATTTAAAATTATATATATAATATATATTAACGGTCTATATATATTTTATTATATATAATATAATAATATAATATAATAAAATATATATAGAGGGTTATGACTTCTTTAACTTATGTTTTCTGGCCCATATGTAATATGTATAGTATATTATATTCCTATCTATATTGTATCAAAAAACATTTCAGCCGAGGGGCGTGACATTTTTTTACACTTGAAGGAAAATAAACATTTCTTCATTGTTTTATAGCAAAAACTCATCCAAAAATAATATGGGGTTGTCCAAATTGTATATAAAGTTAAAAAAGTCATATCCCTAATATATATATATATATATATATATATATATATATATATATATATATATATATATATATATATATATATATATATATATATATATATATATATATATATATATATATATATTATATATATATATATATATATTTTTTTTTTGCAGTAATTAAATTAGGTAATTTTATAATCATAAAAACAAAATTTAATTAAAATGTTTTGTAAAAATCATTAATGAAATAATTACATTAAAATGTATCATAAAACTACATAAAAAGTGGATCATCAATGGCTGTAAATGAGTTTTATGGAATGAATTAATAGTTATGTTAAAACCAAATGACTAATTATGCAAAAAATGCAGAAAAAACTTATTAGTGAGTGGCATAAAATTGACTTCGACAAATTGATTAAGTTGTTATGTAGAATGCCAAGAATATTAATAGCAGTTTTTGTCACTAGGGGAATTAAATAGAAAAAATAATTTATAAAATAATCTAATAGAACTTTATACTAATTTTCATGTAAACTTGAAATACATAGGATAATTAACAGATAATTCAGTAAGATTTTGGCTTCAGTTTTGACCATTCAAATAATTATGGACAGTAGTGTATATATATATACATATATATTTACACACGTATATTCATATATATTTACACACGTATATATATATATATATATATATATATATATATATATATATATATATATATATATATATATATATATATATATATATATATATATATATATCTATATATATATATATATATATATATATATATATATATATATATATATATATATAAAATATATATATATATATATATATATATATATATATATATATATATATATATATATTTTAGTGTAACTTCACCATGGTTATCTAAACACATTTATAGTTGTATATATATATATGTATGTATGTATATATATATATATATATATATATATATATATATATATATATATATATATATATATATATATATATATATATATATATATATATATTAGTGTAACTTCACCATGGTTATCTAAACACACATTTATAGCTGTATATATACAAATGTATGTATATATATATATATATATATATATATATATATATATATATATATATATATATATATATATATATTAGTGTAACTTCACCATGGTTATCTAAACACACATTTATAGTTGTATATACACATATGTATGTATATATATATATATATATATATATATATATATATATATATATATATATATATATATATATATATATATATATATATATATATATATATATATATATATATATATATATATATATATAACCTGACTAGGATCAGAAACAAGACATAAGTCGAGTAAAGAAGGTGAATGATTCGAGTTGTCTGGATAGCAAGTTGGAAAGTTGACTATTTGAGATTAGGATTGAGAAAGGCAAAAGATGTGGGCCTTAACGCCTGCAGAGTCACTGACACTAGAGCCGAGCTATTCAGTATGACAAGAATTAAAGTCACCAGATAAAGAGAGAGGGCTTGATCAAATTGATCAGAAATAACATCAAAAAGGGTGCATTCTTGTGATGAAGGAGAGAGATGTAGGAAAAAGAGAATGCTGATAGAGTGAAGTGGTACTAAATGAAAGCACATAAATGGATAGTCAGTGGATTCAAACCTAGTTTCCTGACAAATGGGTGAACTCTAAAGAATGTAAATGCCCAGGCCAAGCATGTAACTATTGGAGTCTTTAGGAAATAAAGAAAGATAACAATCGACACAGAGATCACAAGATGAGACAGTGGAACATAAATTAGTCTCATTAAGATCAAGTAGATCTGGTGAACTTTGCAAGAGATAAGACTCAATAGAAGAAAAATTCGAAGACCACTAATTAAAAGTCAATGACATTGGTTTTTTGTGTTCTAAAGATTTTGGTACTTTAGTCATTTCAATTTGTTAAAGAACTTGACACAAAGCACAGTTAGTATTCAGCACAATATTTAATAGCCCAATCAATTGCCTCATTTCTACTAATAAACTCTAATCACAGTAATAAATGACTCTAAATGTGGCCTTGACAATGCACACCAAAAGTACAAACACAGACACCATCCATGCGCAACATGGCATTATTAGTACTTTGATATTATACAGTTGTTGATGGAATCAGCCTCTCTGTGAGCTACCACAGAGTTTAGAAAACCTGACTAACAGCCGGCCTCAGAACAATAAAACTGAGTTTTAGAGCTGCATCCTCATTAGGAAATAAAAAATGAGTTGCCTAGTCATAAAAACAGAGACACAAGCAAAACCCATGCATTGAGTCAAGAAGACCCAGCGTTCAACAACCTAAACTGGAAACAATGTATTATAAACACACCTGCACCAGCCTATTAGATAAAGAAGGGGTGCAAAGCTGGTAAACAGATAGAATCTGTTTACCCCTTAAGTCTTTACATAGAAGGCCTTCTACTAGACAGTAGCCTTTTTATATATATTATTTATACGTCTTTCAGGGTTCAGAAAATACAGGAAAAGTTTCCTTTTCCTGATTTGAAACATCGCAAACGATCAGTTTAACAGAGCTTGATAAAAAAAATTAGATTTTGTACTTTTTCCAAAAAATGTTTTTAATGGATAAAGCAGCATATGATTACATAATTATGTATAATAAAAAAAAGTGGAGAGAAGAATTAACTAAAAGGATATATTAAGAGTTTTGATTATTCTTCTTTATTTCTTTAAAATTTCTCTAAACTTTTTTAATCCTACTATTTCTGGGATTACATATATCACGACATATTGATTGGCACAATCAAGAAGTGGTAGTTAGCACTACAAAATAAAAAATCATAACGTAAAGTTTGAATATTACATTGATGTTATTTTAAGAATGAACTTCACAATTAACATACGCGTGTAGCCATTTTACATATGCGTGTAACATATGCATGCAGCCATTTTTGTAATGACAAGATTGTTTTGATTAAAATAATTAAAAAAGTAAAAAAGGTGTATATGTATAAATGTATATGTATAAATGTGGTTTATTATTTTATCATTCGTGGTAAAATAATAGTTATGGCATACATACATACATAAATACATACACACTTACATATATACATATGATAAATATATAAGATTTGTGGTTTATCATAAAAAAAAAAAATTACAAAATGTGGTTTATTATTTTATCATTAAAAAAAAAATTTAAAATGTAGTTTATTATTTTATCATTAAAAAAAAAAAAATTGAAAATGTGGTTTATTATTTTATCATTAAAAAAAATAAAAAAAAGTAGTTTATGTGAACGTAAAACATTTTTCTTGCTATGTATTGATCCTTAACCATAATTTTTATAAGCAAATTTAATTTTTTTTATTTTGATTAAAGAAATATATGAAATTTAAATCACTTTTATGAAATAAAAAGTAACGAGAAAAAAATATTATGATAAACGCACAATTAATATACCGCATTCAAGTTTTAAAACTTTTGTTAATGTTTAATAATATTTATCTTTAATTATATAACAATAAAAATCTAAAATTATTTTTTATAATGATTTACTAAAAATAATAAATTTAAAAACAAATGTAATAATAAAACAAAAAACTTACAACAATAAATTTTTTGTGAACTTTTTGTTAAAACATTTACATTCTTACTGTTTTTCAATTTTACTTTAAAAGATTTTTTGACAAAATATTTTCACAAATTTTAATAACTATTATATTTAACTTATGACAAATTAAAATAAAAAAACTATTTAGTTAATTTAATGATGTATATGCTGCAAGAGTGTTTCATTCTAAATGAAATGGTGTCGGAGCAAACGAAAAGTGATACTGAAAATTAGCTACATATCATTTTTATAATGTAAAAAATTATCAGAAAAGAGAAATTGTAAAGTTTTTATAAGAAAAAAAGTTATATTAACAAATATTGCATGTTAAGAAAAAAACAATTTGTTATTTATAGTGATTCACTTTTTGCATATTTATTATTTATCAGCTGTTATTAAATATTTTTTTATAAAAATAATTTTTTAATTGGTTATAATTAATTATTGACTATGTAAAACTAAAATTTTTAAATAAGTCATAACTAATTATTGACTATGCATTCAGTGTGCATAATTAGCATATTTAGTATGCATATTTAGCAAATTAATTCAATTCAGACTTACCAATGTTTCCATTGATAATTCTAAGGTCTTTAATGAAACCATCCTGTTCATCATACCATGGATCAGCAGTATACACTTTAACATTTTTGAATGATTGTGGTTTTGTATTTTCAATGCTATGAATAACTTTTCCATTAATATAAACAGTAAATGTATAGACTCCATTAAATCGAAATTGAGAGATTCGAATGTTTGACCACTGATTAAGAGGAAGAGGATCTGTATGGAAATAATAATTTGGATTCCCATTAATGGCAGAAGCAATGGTCAGCTTTCCTGAGCCATCATGAAGAAACCATACAGCAGGGGTTCTTTCTCCATATTGTCCAATATTTTGACCAATAGTCAAATGAATTACACTTTTCCATCCTACTGAATATGAATTAGGCTTAAGATTAAAAGAAACTGAATATGCTTTATCCAATAATGGTAATGTTGCAATCAGATTATTTTTTTTTAACATTTCTTCAGTAGCAAGGTCCAAATCTAGACAACAGAGCAATATTGATATCATATTTAATGTTATTAATGTTATATAAATATATATATATATATATATATATATATATATATATATATATATATATATATATATATATATATATATATATATATATATATATATATATGTATATATATATGTATATATATATATATATATATATATATATATATATATATATATATATATATATATATATATATATATATATATATATATATATTAACTTAAAAATCTAACTTTTAACTCAATAATTTATTCAAAAATATAACTTAAATATAAATTTAATTAGCCAAACCTTTTGTGACAAGTACAACATTTGACAAAGATTCCTCATCTAAAAAAAAATTGTTATTAATATTTTAAAGTAAAATGATATAAATATCTTAGTGTGAATTTTTAAATTGAATTTTAAAATATTAGTTTAAAAAAATCATTTAAGTAAAAAAAAAATTATTTCAAAGTAAAGTAAGTATTTTAAAGTGAATTTTTCAGGATTGAAAAAGCACTTAACAATCAGTTAGTTGAAAAACAGCTAACTTTAAGAATATAGCATTTAGACTTTTTTTTTTCACTTTATCAGCATCATGTTTTTTAAATCAATATTAAGTCGCTAATAATGACAAATTATTTTTTCCAGACATAGTTCTTTGACTTCGTTTATCTCAAAATAAAAGATTAGCTTAAAAAAAAGTTCATGCTTGGCATACCCAGTGATGTATGCGATAGTAGACTTATGGTACAACACCATTCACAATAAAGAGGATCTGAGTTCAAATCAACTGTGTGTCTCTGGAAGTGTTATACTGTGTCCTAAACCTCCGAAAATAAAACAAAACTAAACTCACTGTCACTCATGTATCAAAAAGAATTAACCCATATACTTATAGAAATATTTTTATGGATTTATAAGAAAGGAACCCATTGAAAATAATTCAAACAAAAAAATATAACAAATATACAAAAAAGTAACAATTTTTTAGCTAGAATAAAAAATGAAACATAAATAAATATTCATTAAAAGTATTATATAAATTGAAAGTAAATAACTATATCAACTATAAAACATCAATTTAAAATTTTAGATTTTTTCAATTTAACTCAAATTTAAACTTAAAAGTTAAGATGTTGGACTCTGTAATACTCTATAAAAGGTAAAGAAACAAATATATAAGACTAAATTTATTAGGGCTTTTAATTATTAAATAATAAAATAAATAAACATTTAAATATTATCATTGATTTAAAGCAAGTAATGAAAAGTACAAGTAATCTATGTGATCTGGTTTTTAAATTTATTGAATCAGGAAAAACATTTTACAAACCCTTGCAGAAAAAAATAATGTCGGCTAATTAATGGTAATTAGTCATGTTAAATTATTGACTAACATATTATTAAATAAGGCTATATAATTGAACTTAATAGTTTTGTGGATGCAAAATATTCAAATAGTATTCAAAGCAATTGTAGCAAAACATTACTTTGAAAGGTTTAAAATATATATTAACAAACACAATGTTTTACTTCATTTTTATTTAAAATTACTGATAAACTAGTACCTAAAAATACAGCATATTGAGCATTGGAAAAACCTAATGACGTTTACATGCAGATGTAATTTAGTCAAAGACTCATAAATAAGAGAAATGCAAATTTGTAACATGCAGTAATTAAAATTTTTTAAAGGTTATCCCATAAAACATAAGGTTATTTTAATATTATATTAGTTTCTTATTTACCATAATTTTTAATAATACTGTTTATTTTTTATATTTACTATGATAATTTAGCTCAAACTCGGCCCTGGTCCCGGCAAAATTATAAGATTTAGCAAAGGTTGCATGGCTGTTTCAATTTGCAACTGTTTCAGCCAAAAAAAGTTCCAAAACTTTTAATGAGAATTCTGGATAGATTCAAAAATGATACAGAAAATGGTAAAAGTAGACAAAAAAGAAACAATTAAGCTGAAGTAGATAGAAAAAAGAGGAAGTAAAACATGTAGTTTACCGATTGCAGATAAGAAAATAAAGCTCGATAAAGAAATTGATCCAAGTGAAAAATATTGCAGTGATAATGAACAGTAAAGTAAGTTGTCTGTACAGTAAGGTCATGGATAGGTGTAAAAACAGTAATAGAAATACTTGCCTAATAGCAGATACCGTACTAAAAGATACCAATTTTCTAACACCAGACAATACTATTTACCCTGTAAAACTTTGTTTTCAGAGAAATATGTGGAGGAAAAAGAAATTTAAAAAGCATGCTGCTGAAGTCTAAGAAAAGCTTTGCATTGAATTTGATGGGAAGCAAGATGCAAAAGAGCTGTTTTTTTGCTGATTCTGAAAACATTCTTCATGAAGGATGTTTTTAAAAATTGGTATTTTTTCATCTTTGCAGATGAAAATGCACAATTTTTCAGTTTTTGTGAGACAAAACAACTGACGCATGAGCTTTATCACGAAGTAGCAAGATATGCTTCTTTGATTAATCAAGCATTAAGCTTGATATGAAAGCTTCATCATTCATAAAGATGATTGACTGGTCTGTTGCTATTGCAACACCATCACCACTTTTATTAACTGTTTTTAATGATAATTTCTAATTATCATTATTTATATTAGGCTCGTGCGAATCAGAAATTTTAGCAACAATCAAATATCAAATCAAGTTACCTAAACATTTGCTAATAGAATCTTAAAATTTTTTCCCTGTTTCTACTACTTATAAAAACTTTTAATAAGAAGATGCCACATGCAAGAAAACTCTGCCTCTATACAAAATAAGCTTTTGCTTCTCTCAAAGAATTCTCTACTCATTTCACATAATTAAAATAACTTGAAATAGTGCATTTGCACTCCCAAAACATCTTGAAACAATTTAGCTAAAAACTCTTTAAAAAATAAAAAGCTTTCTTTCTAAATCTATAAGTTAAAACTTTAAAATAAATAATGTTATATATATTCTTTTTATTTGTTTAAAATATAACTTTTAACATTAATAAAAGTTAATAAACAAAAATATAAAACAAATTGATATAAAAAATGATTTTTGTCATTTTTTTTATTTGAAGATATTTGGAGACTTTTGTTACCTGGTTTTCCATTAATGATAGCAAGATCTTTTATTGAACCATCGTGTACACGATACCATGGATCTGAAGCAAAAACTTTAACATTATCAAAAGATTTTGGTTGTGTATTTTCTTCCGAAAAAATATTTTCTCCATTTAATTTTATTGTGTATACATAAATGTTATTTTCCGATTGTTGGCTAATCTCAACATGCGACCACTTTTTAAGAGGAAGAGGTTCAGTTTTAAATACTCTATCAAGATTGCCATTTATAGGAGCAGCAATGTAAAGACTACCATCACCACTGTTATGAAACCATACTCCTGGAACTCTATCACCATACTTGTTAACATCTGAACCAATAGTGAAATGAATAACATTATGCCACCCTTCTGAAAATGAATTTGGCTTCACATCAAAATATATTTTGTAAGATTTTTCTAACTTAGGAATAACTGCCACCAAATTGCTTTGAACCAAACGTGTTTCTTTGTTTTCTATTAGTTGTTCTGATAAAAAAAAATTTTTTTTTAAAGAAGCATTTACCAAAGATAAGAGAGTGTAATATGATAAGAGAGTGTAATATACAAAATACAAAAACTTTGACAAACATTTTCAATTTTTGTAATTGTCAAATAAAAAAAAATTAAAAAAATATAAGGATTTTAAATATTTGTATTTATAAAAACAAACATTTGTATGTATAGAAAGTGAAAAAGCTTCTAATTAAAGTAAACTAATAAAAAAATGTTTTATAAAAAAAATGTCTTATTTACAAATATGGTATGTTTCAAAAAAACAGAAATGCTGAAATTATATAAACTTTTTAGAAGTGGTCTGGATTTAATTAATTTTAGAAATGGAGATAATATACCATTAATTATTGATGGATTTAATGATATAACAAATTTACTTAACTTATTAGGAATTCAATTTAATGATATAACAAATTTACTTAACTTATTAGGAATTCAATTTAATGATATAACAAATTTACTTAACTTATTAGGAATTCAGTTTAATTATATAACAAATTTACTTAACTTATTAACTACTTAGTAAAAAGAAAACTAAATTATGATAGAAATATATTATTAAATAATATTTTGTTTAAATCTTGATTTAAAAAAGAGAATGATGTTTTAAACCCAAAAAAAAAATTAAAACTTGAGTTTGTTTTTAAATGTTTTGTTTTCTGGACTAACAAATTTTAGTAGTATAATATTCAATATAACATATAATAGCACAATATATATAACATACAATATTGTATATAACATAAAATAGCAGAATATATTTTAACTAAAAACAAATATACTCACCGATGTTCCCGTTAACAATTCTAAGGTCTTTAATAGAACCATCCTGAGCATCATACCATGGGTCAGCAGTATACACTTTAACATTTTTAAACGATTGTGGTTTTGTATTTTCAATACTATGAATAAGTTTTCCATTAATATAAACTGAAAATATATAAACTCCATTATTACGATATTGTAATATTCGAAGGTTTGACCACTCATTCAGATTAAGAGGATCTGTTAGGAAATAATAATTCTGATTTCCACTAATTGCAGAAGCAATAGCAAGCCTGCCTGACCCATCATGAAGAAACCATACAGCAGGTGTTCTTTCTCCATACTGCCCTATGTTTTGCCCAATAGTCAAATGAATCACACTTTTCCACCCTTGTGAGTAGGATCTGGGCATAAGCTCAAATGAAACTGAATATGTTTTTTCCAAATATGGCAATGTGGCAACTAAGTTATTTTTTTTTAAAATCTCTTCAGTAAGCATTTCTAAATAATCTAAAACAAAAGAAGTTTTAGAAATAAATTTAAAACTCATTTTTCAGAACAATGATATAAAAATATATTAGTTATAAAAACTAGGTATTTAATATTAAATTTCAAAACTGTTTATTTAATTAATAAAACCTAACCTTTTGTGATAAGCAAAACATTAGGCAACAGTTCATCGTCTAAATAAAAAATATTTCATAACAATATTGAAGCAAGCATTTTTTTAGCAAAAATCATAATTAAATTACAATAAATATTTTTACCTGGTTTTCCATTTACAATACTAAGATCTTTTATAAAGCCATCTTGAGCTGCATACCATGGATTAGAAGCATAAACTTTAACATTATCAAAAGATTTTGGCTGTGAATTTTCTTCAGAAAAAATAATTTCTCCATTTAATTTGATAGTGTATAAATAAATATTATTTTCTAACTGTTGACTAATCTCAACATGTGACCACTCATTGAGAAGAAGAGGTTCAGTTTTAAACACTCTATCAAGATTGCCATTTATAGGAGCAGCAATGTAAAGACTACCATCCCCACTGTTATGAAACCATACACCTGGAACTCTATCACCATACTTGTTAACATCTGAATCAATAGTGAAATGAATAACATTGTGCCACCCTTTTGAGAACGACTTTGGTTTTACATCAAAATAAACTCTAAAAGATTTTTCCAACTTTGGAATGACTGCCACTTGATTTCTTTGAACCAAGGGTGTTTCTCTATCTTCTATAAGTTTCTCTAGTAAATAAAAAACAAATAATAATAGTAACAATATTTTTATACATATTTTTTTTGACACCTCTTAAAAAGTAAACTTTTTTTTTTAAATAAAAAAGGTCTTATTTTTGTCGAAAAAATGTTGATTTCTATTTCATTAAGTATTATTTTTATTAATTACTGTGACTGGTATGAGTCAGTGAGGCACAAGGTAATTTGCTTGACTGATCCAGCAATCAAGACATTACTATTACCTGATTTCACATTAACCAATAGTACTTATCTATAAATTTGCTGATGTGTTAAAGAAAAGGATATTTCTTGATAGTAATCAAGTCAGAAGTTTTTAGACAAACTTTATTTTTTTTAAAGAACCGTATCAGTCCAGTGGCATAATGTTAAGGCTTTTCTTATCAATCAACCATCTTTTTGAATCAGTGGCCTGACTGTGATCACATTTATAAGTATTTTCTAATTAAGTTGAGTCAACAAAAAAATATTTCTTGAAATTGAAATTGAAAACATTTTGGAAATAAAACTTATACTAAAAAATTTGGAAATTTTTATGTAAAAAATCTGAATTGAAAAATTTAATTTCAAACAATTAAAATTTATTTAATTTTTAGAATCACTAATTTAATTAAACCAGTTTGAATTATTAGAATCAAAGTTTTTATATCAATAAAATGATCTTTTATAAGATATTACCAATAAATTAAACCTTCAGTTATGTGTTATTTTATAGCAATAAAAAATATTTAGAGCTTTTACAAAACTTGTTTGGAATCTTAAAACATGTTGTGTCCTTTTAGAACATGGTTTCAAATTTGAATCAGTTTTTTTCTAGAACTTAAATATAATGTTCATTTTGTTGTGGTTTTTTTTAATTATTTCGTTAGAATTTATTCAAAGTATTTTTTTTTTGCTGTTTTTATTTTAATTTAAATAGCAAATAAATAAGAATTTTTAAAAACACGCATGTCAGCCTTAAAATGACCTTTGATCAACACTTTTTTGTGCAATGGCGTTAAATTTTAAAGACGACTGATTTTTTTTTTTTTAATTGTTGCATATTGTTGCTAATAAAAAATGTATACATACATCTATTGCTATGGGCATTGATTTTGTCCATAGCCAAGGTAGTGCAAGACATTCCCTTAAATCATTAAATTTTTAATTTAAGAAAAATTATTGCTTTAGCTATTAATAATCCACTTAATTTTTAAATAATTTAATTGCTAACCCGTAAAAGTATTGGTAAAGGGCTAATTTTTTTATATGCTTGATTCGGATTCATTTTGCATGCACCCGACTGAAATTTGGTCATTTCATTTATGATAATAAATTATAATTATATTCTCAAAGTTAAAAGTTTTTTATTTCTAGCATATATGTGGAGTGGTTTTTGAAACCTAATAGACTTGTTATAGATCCTAATTTGCTAAATGCATTAAAAATATATCATCATTGGTTAAGAAAATTTAAGAAGATTATAAGTACTTGATTGATTATGGTATTAAGTTTATTCTCTCAACAAATTATATTGAACCTAATGTTTATGAAAATGTAGCAAATGTTGTATGGCTTGGTATATTTTTACAACCCAAAACAAAATTGTCATTTGTCAACTATTGACAAGTTTGATCTGTCGAAGTTTTGAACATAAAGCTTTTTTATTGCTTAGTCAACTAGATCAACATATCTAGCTAGGTGACAGCTAGGTGACAGCAAGGCAACTGACAGAATTCTCACACATGAGAAAATAGGACAATGGTAACTTACAAGATGTGTCAGTAACACATACGAAGTGGAAAAAAAAGCATCAGATCCTTCAAAAGTTGCTGCTTTGTTGGATAAAATTAGTTTAAATTTTAAGATATGCCATATGCAGAAATATAGTGAACATCATTGTTAGAAAATGGCTTGAATTTTTATGCAAATATGCAACAATTTTTGATATACTATCAGATTTTTAGATTTTTTATACTGTTTTGGTATGTAGTGTATGTTGAGAAACAAATTCCAAGATTTGATTTTTTTTTATTTCAATTAACTCCCAACAAGGATGCAAGCAAACACTATTAAGTTCGGTGACAATAGAAAAAAAAGAATAGAGTTAAAGAGCAAGAAATAAGTTGACAGAATACTGGAAAATTTGTAGGCTATATGAGTCACTAAAACATGAAGATAGGAGAGAGTTCTGAAATATTGAAGTGCAGGGGAGAAAAACTAGACAAATAAAATATTTTAGAGCATGCAGGAACAGATACAAAAAAAAGATTTGACTTCACTGAATGATGAATTAAGAGAAAATTAGTTTATGTTGATAGACCTAGAGATGATAGCTACTTTGAGCAGCAACCATGATAGTATTTGCGGAAAACAGAAAGAGATGCAACTTTAAGACAATCGGACAGAGGCTTAAGCTTGGCAGATAAACCAGGTTCAAGTTTGCAATGCGTTTTTTGATTCTATATAAAAGAGAAAGAGCATCATTAGATTCCATATAGGGACAAATAAAAGATTTGTAGAGGTAAAGAATGGAATCAGGAGTAAGATGATGGCAAGCACAATAAAAAGAAGCAACCTTAGAAAATGCTACCTTTGCAATTTATTGTATGATTTTCATGGTTAGTAGAGAACAAGAATCCAAGAAGAGGCAAAGAAGAGGACTCAGTGAGAATGAGACTGATTATTTAGTTGAAAGAATAAGTAAACAATCAATTGCTGGAAAGAATAGTAGAAAAGAACATAAATTAATGACTTAAGGTTAAAATCTTGAAATAAATTCATTGGAGTATTTATTAGAAACGGCATTGTCAACTCTAATTTTTCATGAGGAAACCTTAGAAATAGACATATTTATGTTTTAAAAAAATACATCAAAAGTCTAAGTATATTATTCAAAAACTATACTCACCAACATTTCCATTAATAATTCTAAGGTCTTTGAGAGAGCCATCTTGTGTATCATACCATGGGTCAGCAGTATAAACTTTAACATTCTTAAAAGACTGTGGCTTGGTATTTTCAACACTGTGTATAACTTTTCCATCTATGTATACAATAAATGTATGAACCTCTTTAATACGAACTTGTGAAATTTGTACACTTGACCATTTATTTAGTTGTAGTGGCTCTGTATGGAAATAATAGTTAGCATTATCATTAATTGCTGAAGCAATAGTCAACCTTCCTGATCCATCATGAAGGAACCACACAGCAGGAGTTCTATCACCATAACGCCCAATATTTTGTCCAATAGTCAAATGAATAACACTTTTCCATCCTTGTGAATAAAGTGTGGGTTTTATTTTAAAAGAAACAGAATATGTCTTTTCCAAAGATGGTAACTCTGCAATCAAGTTATCTTTAACTATAGTATGCTCAGTAGCGTCTTCTACAACATCTAAATAATATTTATAAAAAATTGAAAACAAATGGTTTTTTTATTTTTAAACTTTTTTATTTATTTTAAATATTTAAAATATAAAAATCTCTATAAAATAATATTTTGTACCTAAAATAAAAAAAATCTAATCAAAAAAATACTGTAAGAAAGAAAACCACCTGCACCAACAACTACTGCATTTTGCAAAAACTCTTCATCTAAACAAAAGTGTATATATATATATATATATATATATACATATATATATATATATATATATATATATATATATATATATATATATATATATATATATATATATATATATATATATATATATATATATATATATATATGTATATATATATATATATATATATATATATATATATATATATATATATATATATATATATATATATATATATATATATATATATATATATATATATACAATATATATATAAAAATGGCGCAAGAAAATTAAACATCTAAAAATACATAAAAAAGTTTTAAAAACACATTTAATTAAAAAATTTGGACTTTAATATCAAACTTTAACTAACTTCTCATACATTAATCAAATTAACATGCATTTAATAATATTTACAGAATGTAAGTACATTCATTTTAAACAAATATAGCCTTAACATTTATCTTTTAATTATAATTTTTTTTTTGCTTTTTAGGATAGTTTTGTGTAATGTAAACAAGCTTTTCTACATTGTTGTTATAAGATTGTTTAAGGTCTAAATGACAACTTGGCCAGCTGCAGAAAAGACACTTTCTGAAAAAGCTGATAATCCTGGAATAAGATGCCAGCTTTGAATATTGTAGTGTAATGCTCTTCCACCACTGTAAAATATTCTTTGGCTACCAATGGAGATATGAGATATTTTTTCAGTTCTACTTGAATGTTAGACACATTTAGGATTTTGGTTCGGAGACCATCTTGAGGTAGAGTAGCCAGAAAATATAGAATATTAATAGGTGCTCCCCAAAAACTGAGGGTGAGTCAAATTTATAAGCAAATGTGAGTAGATCATGTTCAATTTGGATACATATTTTGGTCATTTTTTCTTTCTTTACTAAATACATGTTTCCAAGGCTGAGGGAGCCACTCCAGTCTAGGAGACTTTTCTTTTTTTTTTTCTTTTTTTTTTATATAGTAGGCACAAGCCTCTTTTAACTCTTTAATTATAAAAACTATTGCTCGAAGAAACAGGTTTATATACATAAAAAATTATACTTTAATATTTGAATTTAACTGAAAGTTTAATGAAATTTTGCAATTGTTACAGAATTTATATTAGAGCGGAATTTCTATTTTATATTTGGCACTGAAGTCGAATTTGAAGTCAACTTTACTTGAAACAAACACAAGAAGGCGCAAACAATTTTTAAGAAACAATACAATAGAGACAATACAACTACTTTAAACTGCTGAGCAGATGATTAAAATCATACAAGGAAGCGTAAGACTGCTGAAAAAATCAATTTGAAGTTTATTTCAATACAAATGATTTTATTGCATTATTCTATTCAACTGCTACTTTTAAGTTTTATTTTTTATTCCTATGTAATCCTAAGAATTTATATAATTGTTACTATGTAAAAAAATAATTTTTACTATGTAAATAAATCTCATTTTTACTATGCTGTTATATCCTAAAATAGTTTTTGAGGTCCTGAGAAATGTTTTTGAAATAAATTCATAAATGAATGTCAGTGTTTTTATGCTAAAACTCATCTTGTATGACCATGAACGTATTTACACACACGCACACACACACACACACAGATATATGTATATATATATATATATATATGTATATATATATATATATATATATATATATATATATATATATATATATATATATATATATATATATATAGGTGTGTGTGTACACACACAGATATGTATATATATATATATATATATATATATATATATATATATATATATATATATATATATATATATATATATATATATATATATATATATATACATATATATATATATATATATATATATATATATATATATATATATATATATAGGTGTGTGTGTACACACACAGATATGTATATATATATATATATATATATATATATATATACATACATATATATATATATATATATATATATATATATATATATATATATATATATATATATATATATATATATATATATATATATATATATATATATATATATATATATATATATATATATATATATATATATAATATATTTTAGATTCAGCATCTATTAAGTTCAAATTAAAACTTAAAGAAAGTATGTTCATAGAATGGTTAAAACCTGGTTTGAACAAACAAGCCAACCATGTCCAAATGACACATTCTGTTTATTTATTACTTTCTATCTAAACTTATATTAACCTATTCTTTTGTCACTTCCTATTTGTTCTTTTAGTATGACTTGTTATTCTTATAGATTTTGTTGTATTTTTGTATTAAATTAATAGTTTGTACATAGATAATCACCTATATTAGATATTGTAAAAATCACCTATATAGGTATTTAAACAAATTTAAAAATTTAAATTCAACTGAAGGAGACTAGTGATAGTCGAAACATGTATTGTTTAAAATTAATAAAATAGTTTTATTAATTAAAAAGTTTGTCTTGTTTATCAATATATATATATATATATATATATATATATATATATATATATATATATATATATATATATATATATATATATATATATATATACATATATATATATATATATATATATATATATATATATATATATATATATATATATATATATATATATATATACATATATATATATATATATATATATATATATATATATATATATATATATATATATACATATATATATATACATATATATATATATATATATATACATATATATATATATATATATATATATATATATATATATATATATATATATATATATATATATATATATATATATATATATGTATGTATGTATACATATATATATATATGTATACATATTTATGTATATAAATATATATATATATATATATATATATATATATATATATATATATATATATATATATATATATATATATATATATATCAGGTCAACATAAAATATGTGAAACAATGGTTTGACCATAAAACATAGAAAAAAGGTTGGCAAGCCCCCAGCAGCAGGCTATTTGTCAGATTGCTTACTGTAGTACGCAAGACGTCAGATTGCTTACTTTAGTACGCAATACTATTTGTATATATATATATATATATTTTTTTTTTTTTTTTTTTTTTTTTTTTACATTATTCACCTCCCCAAGGCCCGAGGGGGCCACTACAGTCGAGGAGGCTACTCATTTTTTTGTGTTAATGTTGTTAGTTTAGTGTTAATGTTGTTAGTTTAGTGTTGTTTTTGTGTTATATATATATATATATATATATATATATATATATATATATATATATATATATATATATATATATATATATATATATATATATATATATATATATATATATATATATATATATATATGTATATATTTTACATAGTCATTTTTAAGTTTTTACCATAAATGTCAGTTTTAGGTTGTTTTTGTTTTTTTTTAATTATTTTAATGACTGGAAAAATCTTCAAAAACTTTTGTTAAAATGTTTTTTGTTTTTTTTATTATTTGAAAAAAATAAAACCAAACCAAACCCTCAGTTAATGTAGGGACACTCCGTTGCGAGTCAGTCTATAAGATAATCAATATAGAAGCACTCCCTTGTAGCAGCAGGCTATAAGATAGTTGATGTAGTAACACTCCACACTCCACGCATGTTTTACAGAAAAAAAACAAAAAAAAAACATTCAGAATGTTTTTAAAAACATATCCAATAAAGCTTCCTTGGATTTCATTCCACAGAAAATTTTTTTTTAGCGGTCTTTATAACTTCATAAAGTCCATTTCAAAAATGTTGCTTTTTAAAAATGTCAGATGCACAATTACAGATGATAGTTTTACAATTACAACAGATTTTTTGCACAAAAGTGATACTTGCAAATTCTTATCTAATGGCCCTTCCACTTGATTGGATCAGCAGGCAGTAAAAGAGAAAGATTGCATCATTAAAATGAATCCAATACTTTTCCTAAAGAGCAATAAAGAATACACTAAAACTAAAAAACACAATTTCTCAAATGAATTTTGATACAGGGAGGCAAGAAATGATGAACAAGTAAGAAGAGATGGCTTATATACTCTTCAGAAACTGACTCAGTTTATTTTCTACCTTTTCATCTATTTGACCAAACTCCAAAATCATAATTCAGAAAAAAGAAGGTTTCAACACCTTGAAAAAGTTCACAGAGCAAGCCTAATAGAAACACCTCATTTCTGTTATTCTGAGAAATAGATCAAAGAAACAATCAGGATAAAAAATGAACAAGCTGTCAATCAAGGTCTTATCCATCAAATTAAAAATGGAACAGAATGGTGGAGAAGCATTCTTAAGAAAGTGTCAATGATTAGTGACAATGATTATCTACTTAGCAGACATAATATTGCATTACTTGGAAGTCCATTAAAGCTGTACACAAAGAATAATTGGAACTTCCTTGGTCTTATCTGATTACTTGGTCAATTTTAATCCCATTTTGATGGAGCATTCATGGCGAATTGAAGATGGAGAAAGTTGTTCACAAACATTAAGTGTCAATATTTAAAATAAGGTCATTAACCTCTTAACTTCGTATGTAAAAGAAGCATTGTGAACAAGGTAAAGTGTCGAAAGCATTTTTTAGTTATTATGGATTGCACTCCAGACCTTAGTCACAAAAACCAAACTTCTTTATCCTTCCGCAATGTTCATGAAGAAAATAAAAGCAATAGTCATCCAAGGAAGCTTAATTGGATATGCAGTGTATGAAGAGTCGACTGATAAAGCTCATTCTAAACTTCTAATTAAAAAAATTAATTCTTGTAAGCTATACCTAAACAACTGTAGAGGTCAGGGCTTTGACAACGGTTCTAATGTTGCAATTCAAAAAAGTGCTCAACCTCTTTTTTGAAAAATCTATACAACTTTTTCTGCATCAATCAAGCATTGGCCACTTCCCTAGCATAAAAGAGTCTTTAAAAAATAATGTTTTCTTGCCCCTAATTGACACGATAGAATCATCTTTAGAAGACAGAATAAACATGTTCTCCAAATACGAATCAAAGTGGGGTTTCTATTTCACCTGAAAAAACTAACACCAAAGGACAAACTTAACGAGAATTATAAATTGTTACAATAACAACTGACTATAAAAAACATTTCACATATAAATGGAGAAGAATTGTACAAAGAAAATTTTACACGTCAGTTTGATAGCTACTGTTTTTGAAGAAAATGAATTTTTGTAGAATATTTTGAAGAAAAACCAGAAAATTATATTCGACTAAATAAAAATTTAAAAATAAAAATAAATTATGATTTGTTTTTTTGGTGGTTCTTAACTTTTTCACAATAATGTATGTATATATATATATATATATATATATATATATATATATATATATATATATATATATATATATATATATATATATATATATATATATATATATATAATATATATATATATATATATATATATATATTTATATATATATATATATATACATATATATATGTATATATATATATATATATATATATATATATATATATATATATATATATATATATATATATATATATATATATATATATATATTTATATTTATACATATGTTATATATTAATGTTTTAATGTGTTTACCTAACTTTACTGACATTTCTATATATGTACACACACATGTAATAAATAACTTTACCTGGTTGTCTGTTAATTATTACAAGATTTTTTATTAAACCATCTTGAGCTAGATACCATGGATCTGAAGCATAAACTTTTACATTATCAAAGGACTTTGGTTGGGAGTTGACCTCAGAAAACACATTTTCTCCATTTAATTGTATTTTATATATATAAATGTTATTTTCCAACTGCTGACTTATTTCAATATGCGACCAATCATTAAGAGGAAGAGGTGTTGTGTCAAAGTATCGATTAATATCACCATTTATAGGAGCAGCAATATGAAGACTACCATCACCGTTGTTATGAAACCATACTCCTGGAACTCTATCCCCATACTTATCAGCATCAGAACCAACAGTAAAATGAATTACATTGTGCCAACCTTTAGAAAATGAATTTGGTTTTACATCAAATGACACTCTATAGATTTTGCCAAATTTTGGTATGTTAGCAACTAAGTTTCTTTGTACTAAATGAGTTTCCTTATCTTTTAGAAGTTTTTCTAAAAAAAATAAGCAAAATTATTTATATTATAAACAATTATTTAAAAAATTCATAATATTGAAACAATATGTGGTTCTAAATATAGTAACCAACCAACTAGGGCCAGAACAAAGTAAGATAAAATAAATCTGGTGTTAACGAGCTGACCCAAGGCAAATAAAAAAGTGACAAAAAAAGTTTTTTGGTACTCGAGTACAACAAGTGTATTTAAAATGTCATTATGATCATCATCATCATCATCATCATCATCATCATCATCATCATCATCATCATCATCATCATCATCATCATCGTCATCATCATCATCATCATCATCATCATCATCATCATCATCATCATCATCATATTCATCCTCCTCCTCCTCCTCATCATCATTCTGGTCATCATCCTCCTCATCATCATCCTCCTCATCATCATCATCATCCTCATCCTAATCACCATTATCATAATTAAATTCATTATCCTCATCATCATTATCATTCAAACCAAATTATATTTAATTTGTCAAAAACTTTTACCATGTTAAAATTAAGATTTAAAAAAAAATTACCATTTTAAGATGAAAAAAAATTAAGTTTTAAAAAAAAATTACCATTTTATAATTAAAAAAAATTAAGATTTAAGAAAAAAAGTTAAGATTTAAGAAAAAAAATTTAATTTAAGTAAGTTACCTAATTATAGAACAGTAAATGTTTATTAAATTAAGTTACCTAATTTTAGTATTTTAAAGATTTTTTACAGATTGGAAACAGTTTACTTTTTTACTTTTTTTTTTTTTAATTCATTTTTTTTTATCTAATCAGAGCATATAACACAATGCTTACTTAAAAACTTTTTAGATATATTTACCACTTATTATATATATATATATATATATATATATATATATATATATATATATATATATATATATATATATATATATATATATATTTATATATATAATTATGTATATATATTTATATATATATATATATATATATATATATATATATATATATATATATATATATATATATATATATATATATATATATATGTATATATATACATATATATATACATATATATATATATATATATATATATATATATATATATATATATATATATATAAATATATATATATATATATATATATATATACATATATATATATATATATATATATATATATATATATATATATATATATATATATATATATATATATATATTATATATATATATATATATATATATATATATATATATATATATATATATATATATTAGAGATGTGCTAGAACCAGTTTCTCCATTTATGGAGAAACTGGTTCTAGCAGAAAATACCTGATCCGAGTCCCGGTTTCCTGCACCAGGTCCATATTAAAAAGTTGGAAAAAAGCTGGTGAAATCTCTAGAGCTGAATTGTTTATACAAAATAACGCTGGTTAATTGGTTAATTTGCTCTAGTTAAGTTTATTTAAGTTTATTTAAGCCTAAATATATCAATTTCTAATAACCAACCATATTTATATTTGAGGTCACAAATTCAAATTACACAAGCTAATGTGTAAACTCGATGTTCATAAATACTCTTTCTTCTTCAAGTTTATTAACATTTAGAACAACTTGCCGTCTAATGTCGTTAATGCCAAAAACATCAAACTACATATATATATATATATATATATATATATATATATATATATATATATATATATATATATATATATATATATATATATATATATACATATATATATACATATATATATACATATATATATATATATATACATATATATATACATATATATATATATACATATATATATATACATATATATATACATATATAGATATAATATATGTTATATAGATATAATATATGCTATGTAGATATGATATATGTTATATAGATATAATATATGTTATATAGATATAATATATGTTATATAGATATATTATATGTTATATAGATATAATATGATATATAGACATAGCATATGTTTTATGTATGTTTTATATATATATATATATATATATATATATATATATATATATATATATATATATATATATATATATATATATATATATATATATATATATATATATACATATATATATATATAAATATATATATATATATATATATATATATATATATATATATATATATATATATATATATATATATATATATATATATATATATATATATACATATATATATATATATAAATATATACATATATATATATATATATATATATATATATATATATACTTAATATATGTTATACAAAGTTGAGCATAAATTAGACCATGTTAACTGGTATACCAAACCAGACACTATTGCTCCAGAAGGAGGACATCGTAAATGATTACATTGAGAAATGTTAAAAAAACTGTGCACACCAACACAACTTTTTCACTAACAGATTTGTTAATCACAGGAATAATTTGGAGGATTTGACTGTGTTCCAGAAAAGTGCTTTTCTCAATGTAGAAATGTTTAGAAATTCAATGTAGACTAGGCTGATAACTTATTCAAATTTTTCAACTTTTTTTTAATGGCCTTAAGTTTAAAAGAATAAACTTTTTTTAGGGACTATGAAATTATATACAACTTGATAATTTGTTTTTAAAATGTCTCCCATAGACCACTTTTTGAAAACTAGCTCTTTTATTTTTCATATCACCTAATTCAGTATTTTTCAATTTTTCTTTCATTATAATAAACCTTGCTAAAGTTATTCTTTAATGTGTAAGTAAATTTTTTATAATGTAATGTTTAAAATTATAAACAGTATTTTATTATTTAAATCTTTTTAGGTAGGGATGTATAAAATAGGCAGTAATATCATAAACAAAAACAAGAAAACTCAGCAAAGCAATTTAGTTCATTTTAAAAAAGCTAAGGCAAGAAGAACAGAAAATTAATAAAATTGAAGAATGATTATAAAATTGAAGAGCCATTTGACAAGTTTAGTAGAATTCCAAATGCACCATTTGTTTTAGCGAGATTTGTTTTAGGGAGATTCACTTACTTGGTCTCTTAAGATAAATCTGTTTTTGGAAGAATCAAAAATTGCCTGTGAATTAATTTCATTATAGACCAAACTGAATTTTCCAGTGATACTAGTTTCAAGAAGAGTCAAAAATTTGGTGAATAAATACCACAGAGATCAACGGCACAGATAATCAGTATCAGCTATTATAATAAAATATTATTTGATATTACAAATTAAAAAGATGTATGACTGAGTACTGAAGAAAAAAGTTTTACTAAGTGCAAGTTAAAAGAATGGAAAAGTAGGATATGTTACTTTAAACTTATCCATCTAAATATATTAAAAATAAAATAACTGTGAAAGAGAGACTGACAATGATTTTTGCCCCATCTACTAGCAGCATCAGCTGTTTCTGTAGTAAAAAATCCAAAGTTAAGTACACACCAGAGCATAAGAGTCATTGTTTGTCAGAAGAAGGTATTAATATTGCAACTACAACACAAGCAGGTATTTAAAAAGCAGTTATGAAAGAAGCTGATAGAATCAAATAAAAATGAAAGAAAATTATAAAAAAATCTTTATGGGCACTACATTTTGATGCCAAGAAAACTAAACATAAAGAACTGCAAGTTATAGTATTAAAAAACAATGATCAAAAGTAAAGTTAGGAGCCTTACTTTTAGAAGATTGTAAAGCCAAAACAATTATTTCTGCAAAAATTAACTTGTTAAAGGAATTTGATATATGGGAAGTAATGAAAGTGATTATTTGTGACGCAACAAACACAAGCATTGGAGCAAAAGGTGGTGTTGTAGCATATTTAAAAAAAGAGTATATGGCCAGAAATTTGGAAGTTCCACAATATATTGGCTGGCAGCATCATATGTTATCATCATTTGTCATTGAAGCATGTCGCGGACAAAGCAAATACAAATCCTTTTATTTTTGTTGATGAATTGATACAAATTTATGATGTCTTAATTAAAAATTTCAATCATCAGCATACCAGCAGTAGTATGGCAAGATGACATGGGTTTTTTGTGTGAGCTAAGGCATCATTACAGATATTATGCAGAAAAAAAAAGATTTTACCAAAACTAATTTTAAGGCTCTTCTAAATAATAGTAATGCTAGGTGGAACTCAAGAGGAATTATAGCATTACTAGCATTTCTTTTATTGCCAGAATATCAGCAACAACCAACTGCAACCATCATGCAATTTTATTACTGGTAAGTGGATAAATATCTAATTTTCTGACCACTAATATAATAGAACAAACTATGAAGTTTTATTAGCTGCAGTTAACCAGTATGCAAAAGCAAAAAAATCTTTTTTAAGACACTGGTGTAATCAAGAAACTATTATAAATACAGCAAGATCCAACATTTGGGCAGAACATGCAGTAAAAACAGTGCAAGAAACTATGGTTTATGAAAAACTGAACCAACAATCAATAAAAAAGTAATTTATTGTAATAAAATTTAAAAGTTATACTACTACTAATTTTTTAAGCACTAGAATTTATTAGAAATATATGAGTTTATATTGAAAAGGCCTAAAATCATGAAAAACATTTTTTTGCTTTATGGTGAAAGTTTTACTTTTTTTTTATTACAATTAAGACATCTTTTATTTTTAGTCTAAAACTCATTAAGTGGCACCATGGCCATACAAGATATCACCCTAATGTAGACTCTAGCGAATGGTGGCAATTTCCATTTTGTTAATACCAAAGATAGTTGAACACAACTTTGTTTATTATTAATTAAAAATATACAACACTTAAACTTTTTATTTATTTTAATTCCTAAAAAAGTGCTTATTTTTGTAAATTTAAATTTTTTTATATATAAATTGCATTTTTATGACGGTTTGTTAGTTTGTGTTCATTATAAGCCGCTGTGACTGAAAAGTTAATTTTAATGTTAAGAACCTTTTAATAACTGTTATGTACTATGTACTAATTAATAATATCACTTTGAATTGTAACCATTTTAAACACTGCTCTTGAAAGTTGAAAAATAATCAGAACCTAGGTGCAGATTGGTGGCTATTGCCTTTAATTTCTTATCCCTTCGCTTATTTACTTAGCAATTTATCATTTATTAATCCCACAAATAATGACTTAATTAACAAGTCACCTAATGCTAGCATTTATATTTCTAAAGTTTCTTTCAAATGTTGAAATGTATAACAATCTTTAGATTGCTTAAAATATTCTTGAAATATTCTTGTAAGTTTAAGTAACAAAATCATTAAAACAATGTATGAAACTAATAAAAAGTTTTTAAAAAAGGCTGAAAATGTAACTTTGAAGTTTTTGAGTAACACAGTAACAAAAAAAATATCTTACCAACATTTCCATTTATGATACTCAAATCTTTAATAAAACCAGGTTGTGTATCATACCATGGATCTCCCAAATAAACTTTAATATTCTCAAATGATTCTGGTTTTGAGTTTTCAACACTATGGATAGTATGTCCATTTAAATAGACTACAAATGTATAAACTCCATTAACTCGATACTGAGAAATTTGAAAGCTTGACCATTCATTCAAAGGAAGAGGCTGGGTGTTGAAATAATAGTTACTATTTCCATTAATAGCTGAAGCAATAGTAAGTTTTCCAGAACCATCATGATGAAACCATGCTGCAGGAGTTCTATCTCCATATCGCCCAATATTTTGTCCCTTTGTTAGATGAATTACACTTTTCCAACCTTGACTGTAGGAAACTGGTTTTATTTTAAAAGATACTGTGTATTCTTTCTCCAAGCGAGATAATGTTACTGTTAGCTTACTTTTTTTCAGCTCTTGCTGAATTGGTTGATCTACACTCTCTAAAATAAAAAAGTCTTATATTTAAAACAGTTATAAAGGTTTATGATGAAGTTTTTTTTACACATTGTAACACTAGAATTATTTGACATATGGAAATGCTCCAAAAAAATGTTTTTCACACAAAGTCAAGTTAATACAAAACTTTTTGTTAACAATAATTTATTTGACTGCATTAATTTAAAAATAATTATTAATATGTTATTAAAGTTATGAAAACTTAGAAACAGTAAAATAATTAAAAAATAACCTTTTGGACGAACAATAGCAGCAATCGGCGTAGGCTCATCTAAAAAATTTACTTAATAAGTTATAAGCAGTTTATAATCACTAGCAAATAAATTATCAAAAGTTAATACAATCAAAAATTATAAAACAATTATCAAGACAAAAAATTATCAGCATGAATAATTATCAAAAATTATTAAGAAACCTTTCTTTCCATTTACAAGAATAAGATTTTTAATCAAACCATCTTGAGCAGGGTACCAAGGATCAGATGTATAAACTTCGACATTTTCAAAATATTGTGGTACAGTATTCTGTTCAGAAAATACTTTTTCACCATTTAGGCTAATAGTATACATATAAGCACCATTCTCCAATTGCTGACTGACTTCAACATGAGACCATTCTTTTTCAAGAACAGGTTTTGTGATAAAGAATCTATTTAGGTTACCATTTATAGGAGCAGCAATGCAAAGACTTCCATCACCATTGTTGTGAAACCACACTCCTGGAACTCTGTCACCATAATTTGTAACATCAGAACCAATAGTAAAATGAAGTACATTACGCCAGTCTTTGCTGAATGAATTTGGTTTTATATCAAAAGATACAATATATTGCAAATCTAGTTTTGGTAACACAGCAAGTAAATTCCCTCTTATAAGCTGTGTCTCTTGGACAAGCAGTTTACCTAAACATTTTAAAACTACAAGAATAATTTACAAAATTTTGTCATACTTTATTTACTGACTCAAAAAAGAGTTTTTTTTTCTCCACACTTTGTGTAACTATTTTGTAAAATTAATCTATTATTGTTGTAATTTTTTGTCACCATTTACATATTTGCCTCACTTCCCTTTGAAATATATTAGTAAGATTTGATGGCTTTCTGCTCAGGACAGTTAGTGGATTAGCATCACTAAATTGAAATGGATCACTAATTTAGATTTATGATCTAGATCTAGCAAAAATAAAGTTAATTGTTTGTGCTACTTTAGTGAGTGGTTTGATAAGTGGTTTGATTAGTGGTTTGATTAATGGTTTGATTAGTGGTTTGATTAGTGGTTACAAACACACAAAATAAACCATGTTTGAAAAAGTATTGTCAAAATTGATTATGTAGTTTTTTTAAAAATTCAATTTAAAAGAGTCCCAATTTTAACCAACCATTTTGATAGCCTCATAATATAATAATTAATATTCAAGATTTTCAAAAAATGAAAGTTTAAAAAAAATTTGTTCACAAACGTTAAAATCACAATTTTTTGATGAAATATAAAAATTGTGTTTAAACCAAGTTTGATTTTATTGCGTTAAAAACATAATCAACAAATTAAAAGCATTAAAATTTAGTTTTAATACATCAAACAATTATCATTTTTAATAAGTTAAACAATCATCTTAAGCAAAAGCTAGAAATATTTTGAATAGATAAAAAAAAAATGACTAGGAGTAATCCTAAAATATTCAATGAATAAAAGTAAATAAGAATAAAAGTAATGTGTTAATTATTACTGACCTAGTTGTTGATTATAACTTAATTCAGCAATATATAGAGATAGAGTGGGACATGCACCTTTATCTGAATATCTTCAAAAATGCACCTTTATCTGAATAGCTTCAAAACAATAGAAAAACATATTTTTAGCTTTTGCTATTACAAAAGTACTTGTAGCTGCTTAAGTTCTTTATTAAAAAATTGAGGAAAATTAGTGTTCTTTCAATTAGTTTTAACCACATACCAACGCAAGATGTGGAGAAAGTAATATAAGGGCTTAAAATATTTGTAATTTTTTTTTGTAAAACTATAATAAAAACTGATAAATAATTTTTGAAAATAGAGGATAATTACTGCTTGTATATTTATTACTGTTTTTTTTTTAGTGAATTTATTTGTTTATATAAAACCATTATATAGTTTTTAGCAAGCATTAATGTGAAATGTTGAGGGTTGTAATAATTACCAGTTTAAAAAATGTATAGTATGTTTTAAGAGTTATAGCCGACCTAGAATGTGTTTTTTGTGAGTTATAGCCAACCTAGGATGTGTTTTATAGGCTTTTAATTCTACCTACAAATAACACAACAACTATCACCAGATTCAATATGGTTGAATAATGTATATTACCTTCATTTCCATTGATGATTCTCAAATTTCTAACAAACCCATTCTGAGCATTATGCCAAGGATCAGCCATAAACACTTTGACGTTTTCAAAGTTTCTAGGATCAGTGTTTATTGTAGAAAAAATATTTTCTCCATTAATGTAAATACTGTATACATAACTTCCTTCAGAAAACTGTTGTGTCACTTTAATTGTAGACCATTTATCAATTTGAATAGGATTTGTATCTTTACACAGGTTACGGTAGCTACTAACAGCAGAACATATGTGCAAACCTCCTAATCCATTCTCATGGAACCAAATGCCTGGATTTCTATCACCATATGTAACAAAGTTATTTCCTAAAGTTAAATGGATTACACTCTTCCATCCTTTCTCAAAAGAAGTTGGTTTTACTTCAAATGATATTGAATATTCTTTATTCATTATTTTTAAAGTCGCTATAAGTTTTCCCTTTACTAATGGAAATTCTTCTTTTAAAATTAGTGTTTCTAAACAAAACAAGTTATAATAAAATAAAATAACTTTCAACAAATTTAAATAAAGAATTATGACTATAAATATATATTGATTTAAAAATACTTTTTGATTGCATTCTTACCTGAGGGCTCAAGCACTTTGTAACTCTGAATTTCTATAATGGCTGAAATAAAAACAATGAGACAATGAGCAAACATTGAAATATTATTATTTTTGAGTCAATTTTTGTGAGCTGAAAAAAACTTTTTAAAATTTACAAAATTTTATTGTTCTTTGATAAAGTGCAATGAAAGTTTTTATTTTGACCATATTATTTTCCTAGAGATTGCATGCAGATTGCCACAGTACTTTTTTGCTTTATTTTTTCAAATACAGATTATGATCTAGAAAAAATCAGCAGATGCAAATATTCTCCTTGCATGTTCTACCTATTTGTAAACAGTAAAAAAAAAATTATATATATATATATATAATTTTTTTTTTTTAATTATTAAAAAAATTAAAAGACATTCCAGTCTATTAAGTTGCATTTTTGCAGTGTTATAAAAAATGATAAAACCAGTTTTATCAACTAAATCTAAAGGTTTTGACATAAAAGTGTTCTTAATTTTGTCTTCTTAAAGCACAAACGAGTCGTTAAAAGCCTTTTTTTAATACAAATAATAAATTTAGATGTCAAACTATAGGAATGTATAAGTCTACTGATTTAGAGAATGACAACAATTACAGCACATATATCATCTATCTTAGGAGAACATGCAAGGGAGTGCTACTACATTGACAGAGGGTTTGGGTTGGGGCAGCAATTTTTTTTTTCACTTTTCAAAGAATCGAAGATCTTCGATCTTCGATTCTTTTTTCTTTTTTAGAAAAGCCTTTTGAATTTATGTCAACAAAAAAAGTCAACAAATGCATATCTATGTATATATATATATATATATATATATATATATATATATATATATATATATATATATATATATATATATATATATATATATATATATACATGACAGATAAATAATATAGAAGTACAATAGGACTTATATTTATTATTATTGCCTTTCATAAATATATTCAAATATTGTTTTCAATCATAATGCCCTATAAGAAAAGTGCTTCCACTACTTAAAGAAACAAGACAACCTGGATGAATAACCATTTAGAAAGGTGGTCCCTGCACTTTGATTGTATGTATATAATGTTATTTATTATTTTTTTATATTATTTAGTCACCAAGAATATCAAGTGTTAGTGTTAATAAATAAACAAAGAGAAGCTAAGTTTTCAAGCACTAGATCTACCAGACAGAAAAGCAGATACTATTATTTAAGGTATAACAGCTATTCTTGATGAATACAATTTATGGAAGTGTATAAAGATGATTGTAGTGTACACTGCGAATGTAAACTCTGAAAGAAAGAATGGGATTGTCAGAAAGTTATGAAGACTTTTTAGTGAAAAGAAACTTGAAGAACATCAGCAAAAATATAACCCTTATGTTTCTATATATATATATATATATATATATATATATATATATATATATATATATATATATATATATATATATATATATATATATATATATATATATATATATATATATATATATACCAGTAATATAAATAATATTTCGGTAGACAGTGCTCAATACAAAAGTAGAAAAAATATGTATTATATATTATATTAAAACAATAATAAAATTAAACTTGTAACATAACTCAGAGTTTCACGCTATGCAATCATCAGACCTGATGATCGCATATAGTGTGAAACTCAGAGTTATGTTACAAATTTAATTTTATTATTATTTCAATATAATTAAAATAATAATAAAGATAATTGCATATAACAAAAATTAAATTAACTAATTATATTGAATAAATTTTCTACCAGGACATTTTCCTAAATTGCATTTAACTGCTTCTGATAACTCTCCTACACAACCTTTTCCAGCACCACTTGGAATAGGATTTGTACAAGTCCGTTCTCTCTCTTTTATACCATCACCACAAGATGCTGAACACTCAGAATATTCACTCCAATTTGATAAACCTCCATCAATAGCTGGAAATGAAATAAAACTATAAACTATTTATGTAGTAAAAAAAAATTTTCACAATTAATAAAACAACTTATATAGCAAAATAAAAGTTATACTTAAATTATATTTAAATAAATATTAGCAACATTATGCTATAGATAATTAGTGATTAAAAATAAATTAAATATATGTACACAAAACATGACGTACAAACTGTTAACAATTAAAATTTTATGGCGTATGATGTCATATTTATACAAAATATCTGACTACTAAACACTGAACACAGCCTTTTTAATGAATTTGTGTCTGGCTTAAATGCTTTGAAGCATGGCCTACTAATTCCTCAAGAGATTTTTAGACTTGTGACAAGTTTTTTGTATGTGTTACCATTAGAAATTATTATGACTTAACTTTGAAATTACTAAGGTAATTGGGGGACTGGGTTTGATAAAATTTAACACCTATCAATATTTCCATTTCTCTCATGTTTTCCTTAATGCATTCTTTCCAAATCTATTTACTTATATTTGTTTATATGTATAAAGCATATATTACACATTTTATCATCCATTATAGTCCTTTTTGTTGTTATTCTATTGTTTTACTGCCATAAGTTATAACACAATCTATGTTTGTGTTATAATTATGTGGAAATAACTTACTGATCTCCAACCTGGCAAGATTACACTCATGCTTCATCTCTGCTTCATCTAAAATCTACTAAATCATAAAAAATTACCAGTTCTATTTTGAATGTCAATTCTCATCATATCTTTTATTACTTACCTCTTTTCACTCCATAATTAACAAGCTCTTCCTACCCACAGTTAATTACCCACAATTGGGAGTTTTATATCAGACTTTTACTGCCGCACCTCACTGGTGCAATCATTAAATATTCTTCTTATAGAAAAAATAAGTGTATATTGAATTATTTTTATAAAATACTTCCTTTATTTTTTTTTATTTAAAAAATACTGAGGCTAAAATATTAAAATATATATATATATATATATATATATATATATATATATATATATATATATATATATATATATATATATATATATATATATATATATATATATATATATATTAGTCTCAGTAACCCCTGACAATTTGATTATTTAGACCAGGTTTAAAAAAATTCAAGTTTAGCCAATACCAAGTTAAGTAAAAAGTAATAAATTGTTACTTGTTAAGTAGATAATAGAGTTATGACACAAAAAATTGCATGCCAAGACTCTATTTCATTTAAGACTCTAATTCTGACTGAAAAAACATGGTTTAATTAGTTATTTAATTGTTAGTTAATTAATTAAATTAATTGAGTTAATTATTTAATTAATTAAATAATTAACTAATGCTAGTCAATAAGATTAGAGATCTCTTTAATCAAACAATTTTGTAGTGGTTAACATTAATCTAGCTAACTATTAACTTTCAATATTTAATTAAGGACTAAAACTGAATGCTTTTCCTACTAAATTGAATAGTTAAACACAGTAGTGGTGTGATGGTAGAGCACACTCCTCATAACCAAGAATTTTTTTATTCAATCCCAACTGCATCCTTGGTAGTACTGCGCTCAACTTAATTCTCGGTCAGCGATCTTGTTCAACAAGGTTTGTGTTTTGGAGCTAAACAGCTAAGAGAGGCCTGCAACCACAATAAAGTAGTCTCCTTGACTCTCTTGGCCTTATGGAGGTGAATAGAATTTTTAAAAAAATTTTGAAACAGAGAACTTCCATACAAATTACATTTTCAAGTCGTATTTATTTTAATATTTGCAATTAATCAAATTTATTGACAGGCTCTAGACTCAAAATGCTAAAGATAAAGTAAATAACAAAATCTTAAATACAAATAATAAAAAAGGTGAGAACAGGTAGTGACTGTAACAAGTAAAAATTAATTTTGCAACAAAGTTATTAAAATCAAATAATAAAATAGTACTTAAGCTAAACATCTTAAAATAAAAAATGCCTAATAAAAGAATACCTGACGCTATCTCAAACAAATAATGTAAATAAATAAAATACATGAGTGAATAATTTAAACCTGTAGAAATTTATTGAAAAAGTTATGCTCTGATTGTCTTTTAAACATTTTTAAAATGTTATTTTTTTTAAATATTGTTAAGTTTAAATGTCTTCTAAATATTATTAAGTTTAAGACTTTGGAAGATGTTTAAAAGACATTCAGAACATAACTTTTAAAAACAAATGCCCATTAGGCATACACGATACAATGTAAATAATACTATGAAATAAAATGATGATTGATTCAAAAATAAATAAAAATAAATGAGTTTATTTAAACAGCTTTTAATAAATGTGTTGAGTTAAACAGCTTTTAATAAATGGAAATATATGATGAATCTCCATTATATAAATCTAAAATCTAAAAAACCAGAAAAACTACCAACTAAATTTACTATAATTACTCA